TGGGCTGGGCTGGGCTGGGCTGGGCTGGGCTGGGCTGGGCTGGGCTGTAGAATTGATTCAGGTACTGGAGACTGTGGCCTGAGCTGTGCTCAGGTGCTGGGCTGTGGTCATACATCTGGGACAGATTTCCATGCTGAACCCCAGTCTCCCCATCTGTAAGAAGGGTCCCAGCCAAGGGCGGATTCCTGCCTGCAGCAGCAGAACTTCATGCCTCTTCTCCTCCTCCACAGCCAAGGACTACGAGAACGCTATCAAGTTCTACAGTCAGGCCATCGAGTTGAACCCCAACAATGCCATCTACTATGGCAACCGCAGCCTGGCCTACCTGCGCACTGAGTGCTATGGCTATGCACTGGGCGATGCCACGCGGTCCGTCGAGCTTGACAAGAAGTACATCAAAGGCTACTACCGTCGGGCAGCCAGCAACATGGCACTGGGCAAGTTCCGGGCTGCCCTGCGTGACTACGAGACGGTGAGCCGGGCCTCGGGCATGGGCCAGCTCCCGGCACCCTAGCCAGGTGGATGTGGAGGGGCGGCACCAGAGGTGGGGAGAAGCCATTCTGTGTCTCCTCTATACAAGGGCTCATCCAGAGAATGGCCATGAGGCCTCTAGCCAGTTCCTGTTCTACATCTTGACCATCATGTGCTCTGACCCTGGGCACGTCACCTGGCCTCTCTGCCTTCCTCTATGTTGAAAACTGGCCCAGCCTCGGTGGCTGTAAGAGAATTTCTGCTGGGTGCATGCTTGGAGCAGCACGGCCACATATCCTGTGGTCGATAATAGCTCAGCCTTGCAACTGCTTTGGCTGTTATTAGTGATGGTGATTAGTAACAGTAGCAGTTATTAGCAGAGACAACTTGAGATTCTGGAGCAGGTGAGAGTCCCATGTCACTGAGCAGGCAAGGAAAATGACTGTGGGTGCAGAGTAGTGCTTCCAAGAATGTCAAGCAGGCAATACATTGTAAAGGGACAGCCTCCAGGGACATGCTCCCCTGTGGAGGTGAGAGAGGGGACCCAGAGGACAGTTCCTCATCTCCCACTATCTACAGGTGATGTGCTGTGACAGCTTTGGTGACTAGTAGGGACTACCAGAGTGTGCACTTGGGACAGGTGCACTCTGTGCCCCCTCACAGAGACTGACTGGTTGAGTCACAATGGCCACCCAGAGAGGGGGATGAGATTGCCCCGTCCTGCAGGTAAGGAAGCTGAGGCTCCAATTTATAGGTATCAGTGCTGAATTTGGAGCCAGTGTGGCCCTTGACTGCATTCCTCCTCCTCCTCCAGACAGTTAGCTGTCTGCTTAGGGGACTCTGAGTGCAGAGTGGATCACTGCTTACTTTGCTGTACTTAGTCCTTTCTGTCATGTGCACAGGGCCCCAGGAGAGCTGAGGAGCTGATCGCTCAGCCTGGCCTAGGATCAAACCAAAGGAAGGCTTAGCAAAGGGCGGAAGCGGGAGGGGACGAAGGAAGTGACTGACAAGGGGCAGGGGCAGCAAAGCCTTGTCCCTTCACATCCTAGTCTGGAACATGGTGACTAGCAGTGACCCTATCCTGAGCAGCTGTGGCTCTGGTGTATGCTCTCAGCCACTCTGGGCTGAGAGAAACTCTGGGTGAGGAATAGGTTCTTTTTAAAGTGCCCCTGAGGTTGGCGTCTAACTGCATTCTCTGTGAGGCTGGGAGATTGTGGATACGCCGCATCTGAGCTGGAGTCCAGTCTCTGTGGCTCAGTGGTGAAGGAGGAAAGTCCAGAGCCCTTTGCAGAATGGGCTTGAAGTTGAGCCACACCCGGTACCCAAACTAGCATAAATTATCAGCCTGTGAAACCCTAGCCCAAGCCTGGGTTCTCCAAGCCTGAGAGGCTAGGCTTATGGCAGCTCCCAGCCCAAGACATCCTCCTGGAAGATGTTGGGGTTCATGGAGGACATGCTCAGGCCCTGGCCTCAGGGTCAGGAACTGTAGGTGGCCTTGCTTAGAGCAAATGAGCCCATGACTTTGCCTTCTGTGTGTTTCAGCCTCAGTTTCCTCATCTGTATGCACATGGTGTTGGGGGACAGGGTTCAACACTGCTGCGAGCATTGTGCATGCGTGAATGTATCTCCTGTATAGAAAGGAGACACCTCCTGCAAGGTCACCTGGAAGGAACCCCACTCCATAGTTGAACTGTCTGTGACCAGCACTCCGTCTTCAGCAGTAAGAAAGATAGCTTATTCTGTAAAACACCATGTGTGCCATGGGTGCCTGCATGAGCTGTCCACGGCCACTGGCATAGTTCTTCTTAGGGGCTAGAGTCAGGTGTACAGCCACAGGCACAGAGTGCTCCTGGATGTCTAGGATAGTGGCCAGCTCAGCTCAGACCTGTGTCTTCAGAAACAAGGGAACACATAGGCATGCCTTGAAGTGTCGTTGTGAGGGTTGAGTGAGTGGGTACATTTGGAGAGGGCCTGCCTTTCACTCTGCATCAGTCATGGCCTCCAGATTTCCTCCAAAGCTGGGCCATGGTGAAATTGGCCTCTGGCCCCTAGTTTATGCTGGTGCCAGAACATTGCAAAGGCACAAAGACCTGGGCATGCTCTATTTGCTCTCTCACTTAGGGCCATGCCTTGGACTCTTAGTAGTAGCCAGTCTTCCTTACCATGAGGCCGTGTGGCACCCCTGCACACACTTACTCTTTGCATGTGCCTCCCCCTTCCTGGGTCACATCTCAGTTGGGATTACTTATGTTCTTTCCTATGCACTTGGAACACAAATCAGCCATGCAAGACCTGGGAGGGTCATCCTGTGCTCTTCACCCTGCCTGAGGGGCCTGTGGGCTTTGTTTGGTTTATGATACACTGTACCTTTATGTTTCTTAGACATACATTGTGACACCCCTGATAGAATAATACAGACAAAATGGGGACAGTCACACTTGGTCTTCAGCTGAGCACTCACATGCTGGCAACCTTCATGCTGCGACAATCATTTTATCTCCAGGGTCCCCTGCACAGCAGGAGCCACTCTGATCCCTGATGTACAGTGAGGAAACTGAGGTCCAGGGGTTAGATAGGTCACTCTCCTGCTGTCTCCCAGGAACCCCAGGAGGTGGTGCCTGTTCCCAAAGTCAGGCTCCTAACCATGCTATCTGTGTCACATAAGTTCCTGGCACTGTCCTTGCCCCTGGGCAGGTAGTACTGATGGTATCCCACCTAGTTTATCCTGCGGACACTGGGTATGTCCTGGTAGATTCACTTACTAGAGGAAGAGTATGTTGTGTAAGGCTGCCCCTATGGGCTACCTGCTGGAAGCCTGGCTTTTCTCTGCTGTGTGATGCACTATCTGGCTCCTTTGGGCCAAACCTTAATATCTGTCTGTGCCCTACAGGTGAACCATAATGCCTTGTGTTGGTTCTTGTTGGTCTATATCCCTTACACCAGCTCTGACAAATGGGGGCACTTTGGTCTCCACAGCAGGCGGCCTGAATGACTGAAGTGCTCTGATGGTCTGGATTGCTCCCAGGTGGAGGGAATGCAGTTCCTGTTGCCAACAGAGCCATGCAGCTGATACGGAACTGCTGTGGTTCTGCTGCAAGTGTCACGATGGAGAGCGCATGCCCTGAGTGGTCTCTGCAATCCCAGGGAATCCAAGTTCCCAACACATCTCCCAGGCTTATAGTCGTGGCTACCAGTGAACCCTGACAGCTGGCAATGCCATTTGTTATATATTTTTTTTCAATGCTAAGGATGAAACTTGGGGCTGTGCAAGCATTTTACAGCTGAGCCACGCCCCAGCCCCTCACTGGGGGATTCTAGGCAGGGGCTCTACCACTGAG